GATAATTTCTTACAAGAATGCACGCGCACACACACACACACAAGACAAAGATCCCATGTATAGCCTTTAACAAACAATTGGGGCAAGTGCTGTTATCGAACACCTTTAAAGGCCGGCACGGCACACGAGGGGGTGGGTGGCCAGCACCACACCCGACCGCCTTTGTCTCCCCGAGTGGCGATGTTTACACACCGCTACAGGTACTCATTTGAGGCCGAGACGACCTAGGGGAGGCCCAAGACCGGTTCAGATAATCGTCACTAGTGTCGGCCGTGAGAGGGAATCGAACTCGTGTCACCGGGTTCGTAGCGCAGCGCAGCGTAGCGCTAACCGCCGCGCCACCGCTCCCCACGCGCGCTCACACTCACGCACACGAATCGCAACTCGCTCACTCACAAGCGTGCATTGTTTTTCGCTGTTTACCCAATGAGCAGATGACTCAAGAGGTTCACAATGGCCAGGGCAGAGTCGCTGAGCCAGAACCGTTGCTAATCTACGTTCAAATCCAAGCCTTAGCCACAGTGAATAACAACTCCGCTCACTAAATAGCCGCGCACACACACACACAAAACAACCTTCTCTACACATTCGCTTTGTGGGTTTCACCCTCCTCCCCCCATCCCGTGGCGAGTGGGGTACAAAGGTTCAGTTCGCAGTCGTCGGCATCGACGACGACACAACGTTGCACTGTACTGAGCGACATTTCAAGCGAAATTCGTATCCGGCTTACAAGCACGTTGCTTTGGGTCGCGAGCGGTGGCGCAGCGGTTAGCGCATCGCCATTCCCAGCCACGGTGGACATCGGCGGTGGAGCGCTCTCTGAAGCAGTCCCCTGCTGGGCAGCATCCTCCACCAACTCCCTCTAACCCCCCCACCCCCACCACCACTTTCACCAACCTACAATGAGTCAGTGTGGTGAAGTATGGTCAAACGACCGCCGTGACCGGCACTGAAGTAAGGGAGGCCTTAATCCAGCAGTGGATTAAACTATGAACTCTGATTTGTTTTTATTATTTTATTTTATCAGAAGCGACCTGTCCACACATGACAGCTCAGCGAAGTTGCTCGTTTGTGTGGAAATTGACAGCAGCCAAATACTCCTAAACGCGTGACGTCGATTCTAAATGTGGAGGACGAAAATCGGAGGACCCGGAGAAAAAATCCACGCGACCACGGAGAGAGAGAGAGAGACACGCAAACTCCAAATCTACAGCAGGCGTCGTGAGGGTCGGGATCGAACCCACGACCTCCTGTATACCAGGCGAGGTAGTCAACATCTCACCACGTGGAGAGAGAGAGACATGTAAAACTCCAAATATACAGCAGGCGTCGTCAGGGTCGGGATCGAACCCACGAACCTCCTTGCATACCAGGCGAGGTAGTCAACATCTCACCACGGGGAGAGAGAGAGACACGCAAACTCCAAATCTACAGCAGCAGGCGTCGTCAGGGTCGGGATCGAACCCACGAACCTCCTTGCATACCAGGCGAGGTAGTCAACATCTCACCACGGAGAGAGAGCGACACGCAAACTCCAAATATACAGCAGGCGTCGTCAGGGTCGAAATCGAACCCACGAACCTCCTTGCATACCAGGCGAGGTAGTCAACATCTCACCACGGGGAGAGAGAGAGAGACACGCAAAGCTCCAAATCTACAGCAGCAGGCGTCGTCAGGGTCGGGATCGAACCCACGAACCTCCTTGCATACCAGGCGAGGTAGCCAACGTCTCGCTGCTACGGATTGACCGCAGGGCTGCTATAAACGACTCTTTAGTGTTCACGAGACACACACACACACAGCTGCCCCTTGCAACCTCTAGCACACCTCCAACAGCAGCGATTACGATGCAGGGGGCGGTGGGGGGTGGGGGGGGGTTGGTGGGTCAGGCACAGATCCTGAGTCGCATGGGTTTGCGACAGTCACAACCCTCTGGGCGGTCGCCTCCTCCGGCACGTAACGCGACACTCGGAGGCCGTCATCGCCATTGCGGCGTTCATTCGCTTGGGCAAAATTGGGCCTCGAGACACTCGCCAGAGGCCACTGCAAATCCCCCCCCCCACGCTACGCCCCTGTGGAAACATTGTGGAGAATTAATGGGAAGGAGGGAGGGAGCCACGGATAACGGGAGCCACGGAGTAGTTGCGGATAATAGAGTCACGGATGTACTGCGCGAAGTCGGAGGCTGCCTCGATCTCTCTACGCGCTCTGAAGAAGGCCCATTGCCTGAAACGACGCGTTATATATACACACACACCTTATTTATTTTCCTTTTAAGGCCACGTACTGCGCGCTGCTGTCAGACGTGTCACGGTTCTTCTGCGTGTTTAATGTCAGCAGGACGGTGTGCGCGGAAGTGGATATCAGGGAGCTACCTCCGAGAATCCAGCAGCTGGAATGCGGCCAAAGGCGAACGGAATGAACGCGCTGGGTGGGGTTCAGTCGCCCGAAACCAACCCAGCATCAGCCACAGGCAGTGGCTCAACCTGGATTCGAAACCAGGAGGTTAACGGAACCGGCAGAGCCGCTCTGAACTCTCTTGATGCAACGAGGTCGCCTAAGACATTTTTTTCTAGCTATCCGAAGCGGTTCTGGACCTTCCCTAGGTCGACTCAGCCTCAAACGAGTACCGAGTGCGAAGTGTAAACATCGCCACTGGGGAGACAAAGGCGGCCGGGCGTCGTGCATGCTATCGACCCTCTCGTGCGCCGTGCCGGCATCCATAGGTGATCGCTAACAGCTAGCCCCAACAGTCTGTTACAGGCTATACGGGGGGAATCTTTATCTTTAGTTAACTCAAAGCTTTGTTTGTGTATATTATTAGGTACTGTGCTATATACATATACATTTTACTATACAGTGCATGTATGTTTACATCAGATGTACGTAATGCCGTCGTGTATTCGTGACCGATGTGGGCTGTGAACGGGAATCGAACTCAGGTCCTCGCGGGTTCGAAGCGCAGTGCGCTAACCGCTCTACACTCACGACCGCTGCGCCGTGAAAGACCAAAGACAAAGATCCTCCGTGTAGCCCGTAACAGACTGTAGGGGCAAGTGCTGTTAGCGAGTAGCAGCTATGTAGGCCGGCACGGCACACGAGGGGGTGGGTGGCTAGGACCACGCCCGGCCGCCTTTGTCTCCCTCGTGGCGATGTTTACTACACACCGCACCAGGTCGCTCATTTGAGGCTGAGTCAACCTAGAGGTGGGGGGGAGGCCTAGGACCGGTTCAGATAATCGTCACTGGGTGTATATCGAACCCGGCTCGCAAGGTTCGTAGCACAGCGCGCTAACCGCTGCACCACCACTCCCCACACAAAGATCCCCCGTGTAGCCTTAACAGACTGTAGGGGCAAGTACTGTTAGCGAACACCTATGAAGGCCGGTACGGCACACGAGGGGGTGGGTGGCCGACACCACGCACGGCCGCCTTTGTCTCCCTAGTGGCAATGTTTACACACCGCACCGGGTACTCATTTGAGGCTGATTCGAACTAGGGGAGGCCCAGGACCGGTTCAGATAATCGTCGCTGGGTGTTGGCCGTGAGCGGGATATCGAACCCGGCTCGCCAGGTTCATAGCACAGCGCGCTAACTGCTGCACCACCGCTCCCCACACTCACACTACGGCACCCACAGAGTGTATCCACAACCCGAGTGAGGAGGAGTTACTCGCCATTCATTCATTCATTCGGTTTGAAACAAAATTCGACAAAGGTAGGGTAAACAGTGGGTGGATTTCACGGAACAGGTGATTTGCCGGGCGATAGCCGGGTCACGCAACTTCCAACCAATGAAATTCCACATTCCCATGGCCGGCGCCGGTCCATCCGCATGTGAGTTACCATATAGGTCAGAGTTCTTCGCTAATTTTCAGAGGGGTGGGCGCCCACACGTGCTCCACACATTTAGTGGTCAGCTGTCAATGGCCGTGAGAAAGTGGTGGTAATTCCACATTCCCGTGGCCGGCGCCAAGTCCATCCGCGTGTGAGTGGTGACCGTTATAGGACATCGCTCTTCGCGAATTATTTTCAGAGGTACCACCATCAGCGCGTGAGGAGGGCCGACGCACATTTTAAAACCATTGTTGGGTTGATAGTGGCACGACGACAATGAGGGGCCTCGAGTGGCCCGCAATGAGGAACGTACAGAGAAGGCGACGTTTCGGGCAATGGCCCTACTGTGTTAAGCCATTTACCAGGCGGACGTAACTGTGGATGGAGGCGACTTAGCAAAGAGTGCAGCACGTACTCAAATACTCAGGTACTCACAGCTGTACACACACGTGCAGTACACACACGTGTACAAAGACAAAGATCCCCCGTATAGCCTTGAAGCAAGTGTTGTTAGCGAGTACCTATGAAGGCCGACACGGAACACGAGGGGGTGGGTGGCGAGCACCACGCCTGGCCGCATATTTGTCTTCTCAGTGCGTTATATATATACACAAATACACACCAGAGACTCATTTAAGGCTGAGTCGACCAAGGGGAGGCCCAAGACCGATTCAGATAATCCTCAATGGTGTTGGCCGTGAGCGAGAATCGAACCCGGGTCGTCAGGTTAGTAGTGCAACGCGCTAACCGCTACACCACCGCTCCTCACACGTGTACTCACTCACACGTGTACTCACTCACACGTGTACACACACTCACATGTACTCACACACACGTGTACTCACACACACACGTGTACACACACTCACACGTGTGTACACACACTCACACGTGTACTCACACGTGTGTACACACACTCACACGTGTACTCACTCACACGTGTGTACACACACTCACACGTGTACTCACACACGTGTACTCACTCACACGTGTACTCACACACGTGTACACACACTCACACGTGTGCACACACACGTGTACTCACTCACACGTGTACTCACACACACGTGTGTACACACACTCACACGTGTGTACACTCACACACACGTGTACTCACACACACGTGTACACACTCACACGTGTACTCACTCACACGTGTACTCACACGCTCGCGAACCCCTTGTTTTCCAGCTTCTGGTGCATGGCCACCGAAAGGCCGAAGAGGCTGCCCTGTGGGCCCTCCTTCACCAGCGCCTTCTCCGCGTCCAGGTTGAACGCGGACGCTGATGGGGCCATCATCGCCATCACCACCGCCATCAGCTCCACCACCATCACCGGGCCAGCGAACCTCTCCATCCTCCTCCACATGGATCTCTCTCTCCGTGTCCAACTCCCTCTGTCCGCTCGATCTGTCCCGTGTCCAACTCCCTCTGCCCGCTCGATCTGTCCCGTGTCCAACTCCCTCTATCCGCTCGATCTGTCCCGTGTCCAACTCCCTCTATCCGCTGGATCTGTCCCGTGTTCAACTCCCTCTATCCGCTCGATCTGTCCCGTGTCCAACTCCCTCTGTCCGCTGGATCTTGTCTCACTGCCTGCGCGTCGTAGAGGAGTTCACCAGAGTCTCGGAGATTTCGTGAAAATAAAAAAAACAAATCTCGCCCCACTGCCGGAGGAGGATGATGATGCTAAGCCGGTGTCCTCCCGCTACGTGGGGGTGGCTCTGCACGGAACTCTCGGCTTATTAAAGGGCCGTCCGTCTCTCCGTGTGTCTCTCCGTGTGTGTGTGTCTCTCCGTGTGTGTGTGTGTGTCTCTGTGTGTGTGTGTATCTCTGTGTGTGTGTGTCTCGTTCGGTGTACCCGGCACCCGCCTCCTCTTTGGAGCGTTCCCCAAACCCGTTGCGCGTCTCAGAAGATGCGGGAAAGTCCGCTCGCGTCTTGCCGCTGGTCTCCCTGCCTCCCTCTCTCTCTGCTCCCTGCTCTCTCTCTCTCCCTGCCTCCCTCTCTCTCTGCTCCCTGCCCTCTCTCGCTCTCTCTCTCGCTCCTCACCTTGCGAGAGGCAACGCCCACCCCCACCGCACACTAACCACGCATAACATTTACAGCTTCCCTCTCTCCCTCGTCTCTCTCTCTCTCTCCCCCGACACTCTGCCCTCTCTCTCAGCTATTGATACCAACTCTCCCCCCCCTCTCTCTCCACCCCCACCACCCACTCTCCCTCGCTCTCCTCCCGCCCTCGAGTGGCACAAACATCACTCCCCCTCTCTCCATCCTCACGTCACTCACTCCCCCCTCTCTCTTTTCCCTCTCTCCATCCTCACGTCACTCACTCCCCCCCTCTCTCCATCCTCACCTCACTCCCCCTCTCTCTTCTCTCTCTCCATCCTCACGTCACTCACTCCCCCCCTCTCTCCATCCTCACCTCACTCCCCCCTCTCTCTTCTCTCTCTCCATCCTCACGTCACTCACTCCCCCCTCTCTCTTTTCTCTCTCTCCATCCTCACGTCACTCACTCCCCCCTCTCTCTTTTCCCTCTCTCCATCCTCACGTCACTCACTCCCCCTCTCTCTCTCCATCCTCACGTCACTCACTCCCCCTCTCTCTCTCCATCCTCACGTCACTCACTCCCCCCCCCCACTCTCTCTCCATCCTCACGTCACTCACTCCCCCCCCCCCCTCTCTCTCTCCATCCTCACGTCACTCACTCCCCCCTCTCTCTTTTTCCCTCTCTCCATCCTCACGTCACTCACTCCCCCTCTCTCTCTCCATCCTCACGTCACTCACTCCCCCTCTCTCTCTCCATCCTCACGTCACTCACTCCCCCCCCCACTCTCTCTCCATCCTCACGTCACTCACTCCCCCCCCTCTCTCTCTCCATCCTCACGTCACTCACTCCCCCCTCTCTCTCTCCATCCTCACGTCACTCACTCCCCCTCTCTCTCTCCATCCTCACGTCACTCACTCCCCCCCCACTCTCTCTCCATCCTCACGTCACTCACTCCCCCCCCTCTCTCTCTCCATCCTCACGTCACTCACTCCCCCCCCTCTCTCTCTCTCCATCCTCACGTCACTCACTCCCCCCCCTCTCTCTTTTCTCTCTCCATCCTCACGTCACTCACTCCCCCTCTCTCTTTTCTCTCTCTCTTTATTTTTCTTACGATCAGAGGAAAACAGAAGATGCTCGGTGTCGTCGGCACTTTGCTTCGTTCATCATTTAGTTTTTTTTTTTACGCTTTGCTTCATGTAACCCCTTTTTAAATGAAATATTTAACAAAATATTTCTCGCTCTGCTCTCCTTACCCCTTCCCTCTCTCTCTCTACCCCCCTCTCTCTCTACCCCCCCTCTCTCTCTACCCCCTCTCTCTCTACCCCCCCTCTCTCTCTACCCCCCCCCTCTCTCTCTACCCCCTCTCTTCCTACTCCATGTCGCTCTTTTCTCTCTACCCCCTCACGTCACTCCCCCCTCTTTTCTCTCTCTCCACTCTCACCCCCCTTCTCTCTTCCCTCTCTCCACCAACCCCCTCTCTCTTTTCTCTCTCCCTCTCTCTATTGAACACCACCCCAGGTCTCTCCCCTCCCCCCCTTCTCTCAGACACCAGCACCACTATTGACTCTCCCCTCGCCCCGCTATCGACTTCCACCGTCTCTCACGGATGGCTGCTGTCTCTCTCTCTCTTCCTAACACCACCACACCCCCATGTCTCTCTCTCTCTCTCTCTGTCTGTGTCTCTGTGCGTGCATCTGTGCACCCGCACCAGTGACGATTATCTGAACCGGTCTTGGGCCTCCCCTAGGTCGACTCAGCCTCGAATGAGTGTAAAAATGCCGCCACGAGGGAGACAAAGGCGGCCGGGCGTGGTGCTTGCCACCCACCCCCCGTAGCGTGTCGTGCCGGCCTTCACGGGTGCTACTCGCTCACGGCACTTGCCCCTGCAGTCTGCTACAGGCTACACGGGGGATCTTTGTCGTTGCATCTGTGTACTCGTGCCCGTGTGTCCGTGTGCGCGTCCACGACTACCTGTGCCTGGTGTGGTGCGTGTAAACATCGCTACTCGGGGAGACAAAGGCGGCCGGGCGCTGTTTATTCTTCCCATTCACCACCTCGTGCGCCGACGATGCCAGCCATGATAGGTGCTGCTGCTGCTGCTGCTCGCGAACGGCACTTGCGACCCCAACACTCTGTTAAATGACTATAGGGGGGGAGGGGTAAGTGGGGGGGGGGACAGTATTTGCATCTGTAAGTTTTCCGCATGCAAATGGAACTGAAACATTGACAAGGAGCCGTGGAACAATGGCATCGCGTGTTTGACAAATGGCAGGCAGGGATGGGGTGGTGGTGGTGGTGGTAATAAGGGAGGGGATGGTCAACCAACTTCGTCAATTCAAACAGAGGGCAGCTGCCCCTGCCCCCGCCCCTGCCCCCAATCCGCTTTTCCTCTTTGTTCGCGATGTTAATCCAGCGAGCCGATCAAATCATTTCCCCGTTTTGCAACTCGCCGCTCTCCTTCCAAAATGACCCGGCCGGCGCCCGCTCGCGGTCTGTCAGCGTGGTGCACGAAGGGCGGTGAATGAATGAGGACGACGGCGATAAGGAGTGAGATGACGGGACATTGTTTTGTTTAACAGCGTCAAATTTTGAGAAATCAGGCATGGGTGTTACCCTTTCTGGCAATAAAGCAGCAGCGGCAGTGTTACTGGTAGGAACCTCCTGGTTACTACACCAACAGCCCACAGGGGATTATTGTGTCCGTCCGTCCGTCGTGCATCCAAAAATGGGAGGGGTGGGGCTGGGTGGAGAGGGGAGGGTGTGGAGGGGCTGGGTGGGGAGGGGGAGGGTGGGGAGGGTGGGGAGGGGCTGAGTGGGGAGGGTGGGGAGGGGCTGAGTGGGGAGGGGCTGGGTGGGGAGGGTGGGGAGGGGCTGAGTGGGGAGGGTGGGGCTGGGTGGGGACGGTAGGGTGGGGTTGAGTGGGGAGGGTGGGGCTGGGTTGGGGGTGAGAGGGGTGGGGCTGGGTGGGGAGGGACTAGTCACCCCGTGGTGCCCTTATAAAACTCAACGTTTAACCTACTCACACCGGCTTGTGCCCGCCCTCACAGTCGGGCATATTTGCTGAATACACCACGTGGTGCAGCCGTTGACCCTGGCCATTGACCGAGCAACTCAACGTTCCTACCAGCTCCTCCCTCTGCAGGAGAATGTGTTAAAGATGTTCAAACGCCAAATAAGATGCCTCTGTGAACTCAAGCACGTACACCAGGCTCTCAGGGCTAATGGTTACTCCGACTACACAATCCGCAAAGCCATCACTCCAGTCATGAAGAAGGATCCTCTTGTGGAGCCACACAAAACCATCACCTTACCCTACATTGCAGGGGTCACTAAAAAGATCTCCAAAATCCTGAATAAACACAAGATCCAGGTCCGATTCAACACAGTACATAAAATCCGTGATCTGGTTCCATCTGTAAAAGATGCTGTTCCAGACATACAGTACCCGGGCGTTTACAAACTAAAGTGCCTCTGTGGTAGCAGCTACATTGGAGAAACCAACGACATATCTCTGACCGCATCCGCGAACATAAAGAAGACTTGAAACACGGTAGAACGAACTCCTCTGTCGTGGCAGATCACTGTTATTATTCAGTGGGCTCACATGACATTGACTTCTCCAAGACGGAGGTTCTTTGCAAACCAACCGGCTACCATGAGAGATTCGTTCATGAGGCCATTCACATACACAAGCACAGAGACAATTTCAACCGAGAAGATGGATTCTGGCTTAGTAACCATTGGAAAGATGTTTTAAACCATTTCGGTTCTTAATTAATTGTATTTTACGATGACCTTCAGACCGCAGCTCTTTCGCTGGCATTGACTCTTAATACCTCTCACACCACGGTTAATGGTATGGTTTACAACATGGAGTATAACAGCGCCTCGCAGCTGTCTCTCTCCCCTTCCTCTGTTCCGACCATGGATGAACTCGTCCGTCTGAACGGGGCTCGTAGCTATCCGTGGTGCTAAAGTTGAGGGTAAGAATCCACCCATTTGTTCGCCATATAGCATTGTGATATATAACAACTTATTGTTGGTAGCTTAGCTGATTGGAGAATATATAGAGTTTATGGATAAGATTGAGGTAGTTTATATTTTAGTTTTTTATTGGTTTACTATATAGTATTCATTATATAGTGTAGTGTATACCCAGTTACTGTTAATAGTTCAGCTTATTGAAGAATATATTGAGTACATTTATTATATTAATGTAATTTAGACTTAGGTTTTTTTCACATCAGTTTACTATATGATAGTCTAGTTGTTGCAGCCCCTTTGGCGTCCATGTACTAGGTGCCTCTGTAGATGTGTAGGCTTTGACTTTAACATAGCCATTTCTATGACCAGTCACAAGCTAATCACTCAGCTATTTCAATGCTAAATTCTCCTGTTTGATTTGTACTAGGTGCCTCTGTAGATGTGTAGGCTTTGACTTTAACATAACTATTTCTATGACCAGTCACAAGCTAATCCCTCAGTTATTTCCATGCTAAATTCTCCTGTTTGATTTGTACTAGGTGCCTCTGTGGATGTGTAGGCCTTGACTTTAACATAGCCATTTCTGTGATCAGTCACAAGCTAACCACTCAGCTATTTCAATGCTAAATTATCCTGTTTGATTTGTACTAGGTGCCTCTGAGGATGTGTAGGCTTTGACTTTAACACAACTATTTCTATGTCCAGTCACAAGCTAATCCCTCAGTTATTTCAATGCTAAATTATCCTGTTTGATTTATACTGGGTGCCTCTGTGGATGTGTAGACTTTAACATAGCCATTTCTGTGACCAGTAACAAGCTAATCACTCAGCTATTTCAATGCTAAATTCTATGCTAATTCCTTTGTCAAGGCGCTCTGTTTCTTCTCACACAGCTTAAAGGTCGCGGTCTGGGCTTGGCTGTGTTCGCTCCAGCGCTGTCCTCCAGACAGTCTCGTCCCTTCACCTGATGAAGGCCGCTTGTGTTGTGGCCGAAACGTCGTGAGAATTTTATTGTGTTATTTTATTTTATCAATTTATTATTTTATTCTCATTCTACGTGACTTTACCGAAAGAACCAAAGAAGAAGATGCCTCTTGCAAGGAG